GGAGATGATACCTATATGATATACCTATATGATACCTATATGATATACCTATATGATACCTATATGATATACCTATATGATACCTATATGATATACCTATATGATACCTATATGATACCTATATGATACCTATATGATACCTATATGATACCTATATGATACCTATATGATATACCTATATGATACCTATATGATACCTATATGATACCAAGAGCGGATAATACCTCTAATATACTAATAGGTATTATACTAATAGGTATTATAGGTAATACCTCTAATATACTAATAGGTATTATCCGCTCTTGATGATACCTATTTGATACCTATATGATACCTATATGATACCTATATGATACTGGTCTATGGGTGTTCTGGTTGAGAAGCAACGTCGGGCCCACAGAATAGTGGGCGCGGAGGTGTGTGGGGGCGGGAAGACACGCGTGTACAAGCTTTGAATGCTGAGTTACGAGTCTAATGAGTTAGGAATCTGGCTCTATTATATCAGGAGTAGATAAAGGGACCTTTATCTACTCCTGATTATATCAAGGTGGTCATAGCGGCGGTGTCTTTGGAGTTTGGCCAGCGATACAACCCCGCCGCGACTGGGCCCCTATCCGCTAGACTCTTATATTTACCTGCGTGTCTCTACCGTGCATCCTCGTGCATCTCTCGCGAATAACTTTGCATATACGTGTATCTCCGTCATATATAAGCCATCACATTCAATAGTCAAACCAGTCACATATGTTAACCTTGTTTCATATGGGTGCGGTCTTGTTTCGGGGATGCGACCTATATAACGGTGCATTAACTGTGGATCAATCCTAACTATTAACTTTAGTACTTCTACTGGCCCGCGGCGTTGTCCTTGTAATCGTTACGTAATGGCTGCGAGCGACAACAGTTGCGACGGTAAAACCTAAATAGAAATAATTAGACTATAATAATACTAGGAATAATACTGTTATATAATATACTATAATATTAGGAATAATACTAGTTAATTTTGTTCCAATAATATTCCAGCAGTTAGTGCGAATTAACCGATTGTCTTCCGCCGCTCTGCTATAAGTACTGCCAAGAGCTATTATCAGCTCTATTAGCTATTAGCTATAAGTTATTAGCCTATTATTAGCTCTATTAACTATAGCTATTATTAGTTCTTGATACTGTCTGAGCCAACATTGCCTTACCACAAGCAACTCGAGTTCTACCTGGCGATACCCGCATCAGACACGCAAGAATCTAAACTGCGCGTATCGTTTCAGCTATCGCTACACACAATGCGACGAGCTACAATACAATAATACTTTCCGACTGCCTTCTTTTTTTCGCTAGAGGCTACCGCAACTCTTTCCGATGAAAGCTTAAGCACACCACGGGCCACATAGCGTCCCCCCACTCAAGGCCGAGATGCGACTTAAACGAACTTCTGAGCCTTTATGCAGTTTCGAGCAGTTTAACGAAGATGAGATTTACGCCAAAAAATTCTTCTCGAGGTCACACTCGGCGAGACAGCCGAGTACTGGTTTTGTGTTAAGATGTGACGAACGGGGCAATTATGGGGAAATTACGGTGGAAGGGAGCGGGATATAGACAGAGACAAACAGACAAGAGAGAAAGAGAGCGAGAGAGAGAGAGAGAGAGAGAGAGAGAGAGACTGTGTTAATGTGTGTGTGTGTGTGTGTGTGTGTGTGTGTGTGTGTGTGTGTGTGTGTGTGTGTGTGTGTGTGCGTGTGCGCGAATGTCGGCGTGTGTGTATGTGTGTGTGCACGCGTGTTTGTCTGGATTCAGATGACTGATGAATGAGAGATAGATAGATAGATAGATAGATAGATAGATAGATAGATAGATAGATAGATAGATAGATATAGATAGATAGCTAGATAGATAGATAGATAGATCGATAGATAGATAGCTATACAGATAGATAGATAGATAGATAGATAGATAGATAGATAGATAGATAGATAGATAGATAGATAGATAGATAGATAGATAGATAGATAGATAGATAGATAGATAGATAGTAGATAGATAGATATAAATAAATAGCTAGCTAGATAGATAAATAGATAGATAGATAGCTAGATAGATAGTAGATAGACAGATAGATAGATAGCTAGATAGATAGCTAGCTAGATAGAGAAATAGAGAGATAGAGAGAGAGTGAGAGAGAGAGAGAGCGAGAGTAGAGAGCGCGCGCACGTACGCACTATTCCACGTACATCACATTAACGCACGCACGCGTCATATTTCCACAAAATTCCTCTCCCTATCATTTTCTCTCGCCATTCTTCTGCATGTTCTTTTCATATTCCTCTTTTTCCTCTTCACGCACTATCCGTATTTCGCGCACCCCCCCCCCCTTCTCTCACCCGCTCTCATTCTCGCCCGCTCTCATAATCTCTTTCTTTCTTTCTTTCTAAAATACCATTTACACATGAAAAAGTAGTCACGCATATAATTTTTATTATTAATATCAAATGGTACTTAAATTGAAGGTTTTCATAGATATTAATAATAAGAAATAAAAAAAATTATGATACATGTTTATTCGCTGCTCTAAAATGGAAACGCATTTATTTCATTGCTATTTTTTTTAAACTTGCTACATTATAAATTATCACATTTGCAGGTTTCATACAAGTATACACGTACACAATTTCCCCATTTTCATTGCTTTAATTGCTTGTACAATGTATTTAGAGGTTAACATTCCTCCTTGTTCATATACATGTAGTTAGATGTGCATTAAACATGAATCAATATATATGCTTTGCAAGTTAATTACATGTATGTCTGAGTGTGCAATTCTGTTGTATTCGAATTAAGAAATCCAGGGAGCAAAAAGACATCCATAAATAAATGATATGACCAAGACTGACTGAACGAGAAGAACCGACACTGCATATCTACCTAAAATACCCCACAATAAATATCATACACACACGTAAAAATCCAAAAAACAAAAAGCACAGGCAGATAGTCGTTCGGTTCAGTACAGGAAACAAACGCACGCACGATTTTACATAGCTTCTGTATAGCATTCATGCATATTATGTAGTATACGGCAAGTATTATCAAGCATACGAGCAAACGCGCGATCCAACTTTTCAGCTATGTACAAATGACCTATGACCCGATGACATCATAGGGCGCCAGTGCGTAACTACGAACTGGCTTATTAACTGTTTAATCGGTAGAATGTCAGTCACATCACTCCTGATTGCATGCACATCGCCTTTCAGGAATTCTTCTCTTATACAAGTCTGAGTGTACGTCACTGGAGTCTACTGGAGAGAGTGCGTCCGTATCCACACGTTGAATTTCTGACGAATTAGCTGTTTAACCCGCATCCATCACATCACTCACAATTGATTGTACGTGGCTTTTCTTTGGTGCGACTGCGTGCGCATGTGTTTCGAGAGAGCGGCCGAGGACAAGCCCCTGAAAGAGCAGATGTCACACGCGTACGGTTTCTCTCCCGTGTGCCAGTGCGAGAGAAAGTGCACCTTGAGGTCGCTGGCGGTCCTACACCTGTATTCGCATATGTCGCACGTGTATCCCGTGTGCGTGCGCGCGTGTCTGTGGAGATGCGTCAGCCGAGAACACCTGTACTCGCATACATCGCACGCGTACGGTTTCTCTCCCGTGTGCGTTCGCATGTGAGTCTTCAGGCTCTCGCGGTAGCAAGTCCTGTACTCGCACGCGTCGCACGCGTACGGTTTCTCGCCCGTGTGCGTGAGAAAGTGCTTCTTGAGGCTGCCGGTGGTGGTGTAGGCGGAGCCGCATATGTCGCACGTGTAAGGTTTCTCTCCCGTGTGCGTTCGCATGTGACACTTCAGGTTGTCCCTGGAGCAAGTCCTGTACTCGCACACGTCACACGCGTATGGTTTCTGGCTCGTGTGCGTGAGAAAGTGCTTCCTGAGGGTGCCGGAAGTGGTGTAGGCGGAGCCGCATATGTCGCACGTGTAAGGTTTCTCTCCCGTGTGCGTGCGTGCGTGGCTCTGGAGATTCGCCAGCTGAGAACTCCTGTACTCGCATACATCGCACGCGTACGGTTTCTCTCCCGTGTGCGTGCGATAGCAACAGACCTCAGATGAGCCCAGACGCTCTGCGGCTCTTGTTTCATAATATGATGATCAATGATTCGGGCCTGTAAAACCTAGTGTGGGCCAGTGAATTATACATTTCTACAGGCCCGCTGGGCCAATGAGGGTGGAAGTTTTTCGTGCAGACTGCGTTAATGTAAGATTTTAATCGTACTGATACGTTTGAACTTGGTAGCGATTTAATTCTGATTACATACCATGATATCAAAACAAGATGATCAATAACACCATCCGTGATCAGTTCCTCCCTGCTAGATATGGATCATCCGTGCATTTCACTTCGTGAAGGGAGAAGATACTAATAGAAGCCTTATGCACGTTACGCTCATTTTAAGGAGGGCGTGAGGCCGAGGAGGCTGGACAAGCTTTCGAAGACGTATGGTTTCCCGGTGGGACTGGCGGCGCTCCTGGACGAGGTGGGCATCGACGTCGCTCAGCACGTTGCCGAGGACCTGGGCAAGGCGTTCCCCGACCGCCTGGTGGGATCGGACCCTAACCTTCTGAAGGACATGGTCGCCGCTGGATTCCTGGGTGAGGAGCATGCAGGGAACATGCGACCGCTGTTGCGTTCGATGCGCAACTCGAGCTCTGCATTGTGCTTTAATTTGTTTCGATTGCAAACGAGGGAGAACCAATGGGTGATTGAGGACGTATGCGAGGGGGATTTGGTGCAAGTGAGCAACAGTAAGAGAAGCCTTACTGTATTGCGTGACGAATTTCTGACGACGGTTTTTGTTTTATTATATGCAGGTAGGAAGTCGGGCAAGGGTAACTACCTTTACAAAAAAGGGTTCTAAGCAGCGAGCCATCAACCCCGGAGCTGAGGAAATTTTCAAGAAGTATTACATTGAGCCGACGGGCAGGTAATAGAACCGGTTCGTTTTATAGTTATTCCTTGTTTCAAGTAACACCCCACATACGTGCAATGTAAGAATGAAGTGCGGTATCAATAACTCATAATTAAATATATTACGCATCGATATAGCATATATATAGCAGGTAACGAAACTCGGACCTGAAAATCGATTTTATGAAGCTAATCTACTAAAACAAGACACGGTTATGGTTATGTCACTTCGTGGTTTTGATTTCGATTACTTATCATTTTATACACACGTCTATGTGTATTTCTTGTGACAGGTGCAATCAGCCCATCTGGACATATGCCGATTTTCGGAAGAACCAGAGGGCAGACAAAACAGCTGAAGGATTTGTGGACTCTACTGAAATATTAATGTCAAATATTCTTATATTGAACAATTCATGCAAATTTGAGATATTAAATGATGTTATCTCAATAGGTGAATGATTGCCATAGGAAAACAAATTCTTTTGCCCATATGTGCTATATTCAAACATTTTCAAAAATTCAGATTTTTAGTTTTATTTTATCTGCTAGATTTTTAGGGCTTGCCATTAGGGCTGTTCCAATTTTATGTTATTTTTTGCTTCGTTTTCCTATATTTTCTAGTATTTTCTCAAATTTATGTCAAGAAATGTGGAAACAGTAATCCTGATTTATATTGTCGAAATAAAAAAGCACAGTGTACCTGTACTCGCATACATCGCACGCGTACGGTTTCTCTCCCGTGTGCGTGCGTGCGTGCGCCTGTAAGCCACTGAGCCGAGAGCATCGGTACCCGCACGTATCGCACGCGTACGGTTTCTCTCCCGTGTGCGTTCGCATGTGCTGTTTCAGGCTCTCGCGGGAGCACGTCCTGTACTCGCACACGTCACACGCGTACGGTTTCTCCCCCGCTTCGCTCTGCACGTCCGAGCGAGGAGGAGCAGGAGGAGAAGAAGATGTTGGAGAAAGAAGAGCAGGAGGAGGAGACGGAGGAGCAGAAGAAGCAGGAGCAGGAGAAGAAGGAGCAGGAGAAGAAGAAGCAGGAGAAGGGGGAAAAAGAAGAAAAGAAGAAGCAGAAGGAAGAGAAGAAGGTTCCATCAAGCGGGCGGTGATCGAGATCACGATTTCTCCTCAATGCAGGTTCCTCTCCCACTTTCTTCCCCGATGCAGGTTCCTCTCTGTCGTCCGCTTTCCTGCGGACAAAAAATAGAGAGCACGGATAACTTCCCCTGCCTCACAAGGAGATGAAGTCAGATTCGTTTGCTGTGGGCATAGCACTAAAAATCACGAGTTATACTTAATAGGACAGGACTGCACAACGAAGAGTAAAGTTTTCAAAATGTTAGTGTGTAGCAAGTTTTTCAGAGTATAGATACACGTGAACTCGATGGAGTCACGTGACCAAATCACCACGTCAATGGCAACATTAAACATTATGCCCAGACATTTCTAAAGTCAATCACTATAGTGATTTGTTCATTGGCATATCTACAGGAAGTGAGAAACTATATATATAAGCAAGAGGTATCTATAGGCAATTGTTGTTGTTGCTTTTCTTTAATTTAAAGTAATAAATTCGAGAATTCTCCAGGGTTTCCCAACTTTTCCGACACTTACCGTTATTGCTAGAGTAACAGCAATTGTCTAGAGTAACAATAAAATGTCGTAGAATCTTCGTATTCACCAAAACATGCAATTTTCGAACTAGTTTGGCAAACGAACGTTTGTTGTAATCTTAGGACTAGTGCCGATAGGTCTTCTCAGCTAATAGCGCCACCTATCTGCCATAGACATACAATCTATCTCAAATGCAATTGTTTTCAAATCCGGCAAATTACAAGTTTACACATTTAACGAATCTCGCAGATCGATGTCATTTTCATTGTGTTACCATGTGTTCATATCCAATTTTCTATGTTATAACTGCATAAAATCTTGGTGTTTTATTAATGTTGGTGAAATCAGTAATATATCCACTGTGAGGTGAGCCTATATTTAGCTATATTTTTTTCGGATTGAGCGTTTCTGAGCAAAAATCTCATAATAGTCAGTTTAATAAAATTTGCAAAAATTGATGAAATAACTCTTCATTTCATTTTTGTGTACTTATNCTGTAGTCGGAAATGCGTGAGGAGGACGGCGTATGTCGATAAGAGTAGAGTTGAGCATAGACGTTAGTACACGTAGAGTAGAATAGCATAGATAACTAGATAGGATAGCTAGATAATCTATAGATAGCATAGAAACTATAAATGGATATATAGATAAGCGTAGCATAGATAGATAGATATAAATAGATAGATTGAGCATAGATAGATAGACAGACAGATAGATAGGCATAGTATCCTCACCGCACTGACCTAGGGTATAGCGATAGGTTACGATCAAGGAGTCAGTCATAGATCAGGATAGATAGATAGATAGATAGGTAGATAGGATAGATAGATAGATAGTCTAGCTAGATAGAAGATAGAGAGAGATAAGAGAGCAGAGAGAGAGAGAGAGAGAGAGAGATGAGCAGGAGATGACGAGAGAGAGAACTAAATGGCGTCCATAGTCTCTTTCTTTTCTCGGGCACTGATCGTCTCACTCGAATTCTCCCCGCCGCCCCCCCCTGTCGTATCTTACCGTGGCGCGCCCTCGCCTTCTTCACTTTCCTTCCCCCGCCCCCCCCTTTCTCTGCGTTTCTCCCTTTTGCCTCCTCCGGCTTTCTTGCTTCACTATTTACTCGATGTTTGTTGGCCTAACGACATTCCAATAGTATACGAGATTACTGTACGTGTGCGCCAGTCGTCGGCGTTAAATTCCTGGAGCGGGGGTGGCAGGTGTTATGTACCTCAATTTCGATTACCAATATAAATGTAACTTAAAAAAAAAAGCGACCCTACGGGCCGATTTCGCGGCAAACAAAAATGTCCATTTGATGCCAGTGTAATTATAAAACACAATTGGAATTATGAAATGTTATTCATTAATTAATGTAATAATGTTATTCCGAATAAGTACTCATTATTCCTGATTCATTAAATGATATATGACTGCACCAGAGTTTGCTTTCACCTGTTCTACTAACTAATGAGGTATGTACTTTCGAGTTTGATATTCTGTAAATATATGTTTCAGCAATCCATTCGGTGCAATGACTTTAATCACTGGTAATTGATACTTTGTAGGTTAAACATTGGCAATAATTTGCTTTATTAAATATATCACTTGGATCGATTAACTTCTTCACTTTGAGGTAATAACAAATACACTGTTAAAAAGTACCATGTTTTAATAATACACCAACAATTTATTTACATAGCATTCGTGTTACATTTAAATAGTATATTATATATCGATTGTGTGTATTATTATACACGCCCACCTCAAACATAGCAATAATATGACCAAGTGAAAATTGGTTTAATTCTTAGATTTTATGTTTAAAATTCACCGAAACAACAACAGCCACGCCATTTAACATTCTCGCAACCATGAGTCGTGTTGTCTTCTTCACGGCAGAAGAGCCTCCTCCTCGTCACGCCGGAGGTAGTATGTATGCATGTCACAGCCGTACGAGTCGGCAATCTGCATATATGCCAGCGCCTCCGATAGAACCTCAAACCTGCGACAGACGCCAGATGTTATTATAAAACCCATGTGATATTTCATCTGCTGGCATAATCCTGGGTTATATCTTATTTGCTTACATCTCACCTAACCCATGTCATATACCAGTTTCTAACTTATACCTACGGTATATCTCATCTGATAACATACACCCATGTATTTAATGTACAAGAAACAATTGCAAACTGGTCGCACACAGCAGAGAGACGCTCACTAAAACCCGTGACAACAACTACGAAACATGTCAGACACGGTAAGAGAACAGGTCCTCAACTCGAGCTATCGTCACACAGCCTACATTTCTGCCCGCTCAACGACACATCATTGAAAACGTTCGTTTCACGTTTCGCGACGATGCAACAGATCTCGCGTGCACTCACACGAACAGGATGTCGGTCGGTACGGGGCTGCCCAATGTTGCACCACGGGAGAAGAACTTGTGGATCTTGCCTTTGTACATCTCGAATATCCTTTGCTGCAAAAAAAAATCGAGAACGTACGCACAAATGATTAAAGAACACACGTGTGCTGTGCCGTGAATGCTCCTTACTGCAACAGTGTAAGGTTACCAGCTGCTGTGCCGACCCTTGCTGAGGGGTAGAAATTAACTTTTAAACAAGGGAGTCCAACGGACTCCTTGCCCTCAAAAAGAGGGAGTCCGCAGTCTGACGTTAAAAAAACGTGTAGCGAATCCTCGTGAACTTGTTTGAAATCGCATTGATACGTGTGATTAACATACGGGCAGGTTTTTCACAGTTTATAATTGTATGTACTATAATGAGTGACATGCTCCTGGTATGTTATTGTACACACTGCACTACAACACTCACCTTGTCAGGTCCCACACACCACTGTTGACAAACACGACATCTGGTGTGAATGAGTGCTGTAGCAGCCGATCCAACACATCACGGACATAGTCATTGTAAGCTCTACGGGATAGCAAATACTATTTCATGCCTTCCGCTCTTACAATTGTAATTAACATGAAGGTAACGGTCTGCCACCCATCAGATAACAACACTGTATTTTAAATATAGTTGCTGAACTCCATGTATATAGACCTCGTGCATACAACAAATATCTATGTTGCAGACATGCCAACATTCAATGAAGCCAAAGAGTAATGATTTCTAAATTCCTGGTTTTGACAAACGCCGTAGGTGTCCTCCTCCCATTGAGGGGGGTTTAGGGGTCCTCCCCCAAATTTTTTTTGAAACTTAGATGCTCTGTGGTGCATTCTGGAGCCATCTGTGGCACTTTCAGCATTGATTTAAATTAGGCAAAATGATGTTTTTCTGCCTGAAAATAGTGGGGAAAATCAAGAATTATTTCAGAGATTTATCAAACGAGAACTAAATTTTATTACAGTAAACTTGTGCATACACCCACAATCATAGGGAACATTAATGGATCAGGATACCCTGATTATGTTATCTTTCTTATTGACTCAATAGTGATTACATAGTGACACAAAATAACTTTGATAAAAAATCACTCA